TTCATTCAAGCTGTTTTGGTTGGTTTACTGGGACTGTTTGCATTAAAAATCCTTCCTGGACTGTTTGATATTATTTCTGGGGCTTACAATAGATCACAAGCTGCTGATTCACTGCTGAATTGCATCTGTTGTTCTGCTTTTGTTCGAGTTGATCCTCACCTTTGTGTTACTTCAATTCCAGGTATTCTTCAACCTCAATGACGTGTGAAGGACTAAATCTGCAAGTGTATTCGAGCTATTGAATAAACGACAAATTACTCATATTAATTTCATGTTTAGCTTACTTGTACACATCAATTTACATGTTAGATTATATAGTAGTAGTAGTATTTGAAATCTAATGAACCTGGACTTCGGATGATTGTAATAACTGGACTGTTCTCCTCTTACTTCAGAAATTATATGAGAAGGATATTCAAAGTTGCTGATTTAGTGTAGCTGATTCTAGTTATAGCATTTTGATTAGTTGGAATTTAAGAGGAAAATTTGAATTACAGTATTAGTTTATACATTGCTTCATGTTCATCGACCTAGAACTTCTCTGTTGATCCGGTGACTTGAATATTAAAGTCATTTACTTCGTTAAGCCTAAGACCGATAATTTACGAGTTATAGGTGAATTTTCTTTCAGTTAAGTTGATAAGGTAGTGTATTTCAGGCCAAATAGCTATTAGTACGTGAAATCATCTCAAAAGTCTTCACTCAATGTCTTCTTCAATTTTAATTCATGTTTTGTATAAATCAGAATTTAAGTCCTGTCATTAGCCTACCAATTGCATCATTACTGGTTCTAAAATCAGTTAGCATAGTAATACAAATTTCAACTTAATTCAAAGTAATGCCTGGACTGCCCAAGCCATAATTTCGGGCCTAATTTGGCCCAGTCACAAGCACTAGCCAGAACATCATCTGGCCCATCTCAGGTCATTTAATCCCATTAGGGTGAAGGCTGGTGCATATGTGGGCCTAAAGCCCAGTTTAATTGCTTTTTGTATTGAGCTCGTTTTGAAGCCCAAAATTCTGATCGATTGGTTTAGACAAAGCTAAAATTGGCACTTCCTTCCCATAGGCCGCTTCAGGATCCAATGGTAGTAAATAAATTTGAATTATAGATTCGGGCCCTTCAAGTTAGGTAGCGAATTCAAATTAAGAGGTTTTCCCTCTTGTTTGTATTCGGACTTGAACTTGAGGTCCGAACTTTATAGTGATAATTAACTAGGTATTTAGAGACATCACTTAGTAGAAAATCCTAGTTTCTTTAAAACGACCTTTAAAATAAAACGAGGCGCACCGCGCCAAATAAAATTCATAAATTGCGTGGCCCTCTTTAAATGCCTATATTAAAGTACTTAGAATTCGGGACGTGCCGTTTAGCGAATTTCGCGGCCTCCCGCAAAAATAATAACATGTTAGCCGCTTTAGGCATGTTCTTTAATAATTTTACCTTCCTAAATTCGGGTGTGCATTTCATGTGACCCAAATCCAAATACCAAAACGTTGAATAAAATGTGTCGAGGATCCGGGTGCATTTCATGTGACGTGATCCAAAAACATGTTTTAAACGACGTTCAATTTCTTAAAAAAATAAATAAAACGGTAAATAATTTTAAAATTGCACAATAGGGTGACATGTATTAAAATCAGATTTTTAGCCAATTATAATAATTTAAGCGACCGTGCTAGAACCACGGGATCCGGGGGTGCCTAACACCTTCCCTCGGGTCAACAGAATTCCTTATTCAGAATTTCTGGTTCGCAGACTCCAACCGGGAAGTCGAAATTTTTCTCGATTTGGGATTCAAGTTAAACCGGTGACTTGGGACACCAAAAGCCAAACCTATCCCAAGTGGCGACTCTAAAAACCAAATAAATAATCCCATTTCGAATAATATCACTTTAAATGGAAAAACTCCCTTATATACTATCTTTCGGGGTAAGTGTGTAAAAAAGGAGGTGTGACACGCCTGACATAATCCATTAGGAACCTTTGAGTATGTGTAGTATGAACTCTTATCTTTGTTGATCATCTGGCATGATATCTTCTCATAGTTCCCCAACACTGCCATAATCTTTCTCAAGGATGGAAGATGAGCAGAAGCAAAGATTATAGTATCATCAGTATATGCCAAGTGGTTCAAAGGATCCGACCACTTAGGCATTCCAAATCCCACAAATGACCTGTCTTCAAATAGCTAATTCAAAGACCTGTATAGTACCTCAGCTGACAAAATGAACAATGCTGGTGATAAAGGATCCCCTTGCTTGACACCCCTTGTAGACTTGAAGAACCCCGAGGACTTCCCATTCACCAATACTGAGTACCAGTTATTTGACACCAAGTTTCACACCATGTTGATGAAGTGCTCAGAAAATACCATCTTCCTTAGTACATGCAATAAGTACTTCCATGAGACCCTATCATAGGCCTTAGCCATATTACCCGTAATAGCAACGACCCAATTGCAAGAGCGGAGCTCTACCAACTGAGCTATATCCCCCCGAGCCAAGTGGAGCATGCATGAAGTAGTCAGATGTTTCTTCTATTCTTTTCCCTGGCGCAGTTGGGCCATCCTGGACTTGAACCAGAGACCTCGCCCGTGAAGTAAATCATCGCACCTACGGTCCAACCAATTGGGAGAGAATCAATAGATTCCTTTTCGGGAGCGATTCATCCTTCCCGAACGCAGCATACAACTCTCCGTTGTACTGCGCTCTCCAAGTGTGCTTGTTCCCCATGATCACCATATTAGCTGGCTTTCCCCTTAACCTTATGTTAGTGACAATTTCTTGAGTCAATAAGATGTTTTCAAATATACTCCTACCCTTCACAAATCCGGATTGATTAGGAGATATTAGAGAAGGCAAAAAAATTTCCAATCTATCATGTAACACCCTAGACAAGACCTGTTAATGAAGTTGCTCAAGCTAATAGGTCTTAAGTCAGAAAAGGTCTCAACTCTAGGTTTCTTAGGCAGCAACACTAGATTGGTGTGAGTGATGGATTTAGACAGTGCAACTCCTCGATAGAAGTGTAGCACCATGTTGTGTATATCAGCACCAATAACATCCCAGCATGTTTGATAAAATAGGCCATTGAATCCATCTAGACCACTAGCACTCTCCCCACTAAGCTCAAAAACTTCTGACCTTACCTCTTCAATTGTTGGCAATCTGCTAAGTTCCAAATTCTGTTCCATAGTGACCATCGACGGTACATTATTGAGCAAGGAAAAGTCAGATGTATCACCTTCATTTGAACTGTTTTTGATAGAAGTCCACTGCAGCTGTAGCCAATTGCTCCTGGTCTTCAATCCATACCCCACTTCCACTTTTGATCCTCTTCAGTTGCAATTTCTTTCTTTTGCCATTGACATGATTGTGAAAGAAACTTGTATTCCTATCGCCTTCAGCAAACCAAGTCATCCCAACTTTTTGCTTCCAATACTGCTCCTCAATACTCAAGTATTTCTTTAATTCAGATTGACTCTTTTGAAGCACAATCATGTTCTCAATTGTAGGCTCTTCTTACACAACATCTCTTTTACCCTAACAATGTCTTCCAAAATAGCCAACTGCTTGAAGATATCACCAAATATTTCCCTACTCCATTTTGACAGTGCTGCCTTCACCCTCTTGAGCTTCTGCTTGAACATCAAAAAAGGACCCCCCTATGAAATCAACTTCCCAGTTCTGCCTCACCACATCCATAAATGTAACATGTTTAGTCTAAAAGATCAAGAACCTAAAAGTCTTGAAAAAATTGGTGGTCTGCTCCCCACATGTCAATAACAATGGTGCATGATCTGATCAAGTTCTGATTAGATGTTCAACTTCAATAGTTGGCAACATGTTCTGAAATGGCAAATTCACAAAGATCCTATCCAATCTTTTGAATATACACGCGGCATTGGATCTCCCATTTCACCATGTAAATGAACTTCCTTTATATCCTTGCTCAAACAAACCACAAGAGTTTACACAAAATGCAAAATCTTCATATTCAGGCGCGTGTACTGGTAGTCCTCCTATTTTCTCATCTTCATGTAATATCACATTGAAATTCCCTCCTACCAACCATGGCAATTTCATATCACTTGCTAAGTAATACAAGTGATCCCACAATTCCAACCTCTCCATTGCTGAACATTTTGCATAAAAATGTCATTATCATGTGCTGCCCCAGGTCAAGGTGAAATACTCTCACAGTCACCTGTTGCTCAGTATCCTCCAGTAATTCCAATTCCACAACTGCATCAAAGAACAACCAAATTTGCCCATTAATATTTGCATAAGCCGTCTCCATATTCAACCTTTTTCTATATCTATCAATGAGTCTCTTCTTTGAAAAGGCTCCATCAATGCAACTACACAAAAGTTATGCTCCCTATCCAAGCTCTCACTATTCATTATAGTAATACAAATTGTCTAACAAATAATAGCCATAAAATTGGGGCCTTCAATGAGGGGGAGCTAAAGCAATTGCTTTAGTGGCCTCCCCGGGAGCCGGCACCGGGTGTGGGTATATCTCTACGTGTTTGGGGTTGCTTGGAGCTGCATTTCTGTGGCGAGGTAGCCACGTGATAAGTTTGCTAATCTAACTAACTCGAGATTAATTAATATAATCGTGGGAAAAAGGTTCAAATTTGCTCTTATTCTTTGCGAGAAGGTCTCACTTTACCCTCAAGTCTGCTCATCTACGTTCCCGTAGTTAGCAAGAAGGGCATTTTCGAGCCAAAATCATAATAGCAAGGACATAACAAAACCAAACTTATACCTTCTAGCAAAGTAGAAGGATAAATTAAATATTTTTCCAATTTGTTATACATCATGATTCATGCGTTAAGCTTTAATACAATGGACAAATACAGGAGCAAGATATATATTTTATAGAGAGGAAATGATTTGAAACACACAAATAATTTCATAAAAATAAGTTAAGCTCTAATACTAATGGAAAACTAAAGGGTAAAACATGCAACATGCCATTTCATAGTTGAGAATAATTTTATACTTAAAAAATCTCTTACTATAACTATCCCATCGAAAGCTGAGAAAACTTGAACCGGAAAGAGCAAATGGCAACAGTTTCATCCTCAGTCGCTTCTCTTTCCAAGCCCTTAAACCCATCTATCTCATCCACCGGAAACCCTACCATCTTCAATCTATTGAATCCTCAGCTCAATCGAGCAAAATCCCCACAAACCCTATCTCTCAAATCTCCTTCAATTTCTCATCTTTTTATCAAGCCTCTAAAAGCTCAACAATCTCGCATTTCTTCTACCCCAATCACCTCCCTTTTTACCGGTATAGTTGAAGAAATCGGCCAAATCAAGCAACTGGGTTATGATAAACCCGACAGTTTCACCATGAAAATTAAAGCTAACCTCATTCTTGAAGACATCAATCTCGGCGACAGTATTTCCGTCAATGGAACTTGTCTCACGGTCGCTTATTTCGACAAACAGTTGTCGGAATTCAGTGTTGGATTGGCTCCAGAAACGCTGAGGAAGACTTCTCTGATCGAATTGGAACAAGGGTCTCTGGTGAATTTGGAAAGGGCTTTGATGCCTAGTACTAGAATGGGAGGTCACTTTGTGCAGGGCCACGTTGATGGGACCGGCCAGATTGTTGAGCTCAAACCTGAAGGAGATTCTCTGTGGGTAAAAGTTAAGACTTCGAAAGAAATTTTGAGGTACATTGTGCCTAAAGGATTTATTGCTGTGGATGGGACTAGTTTGACTGTAGTAGATGTGTTTGAAGAAGAATACTGTTTTAACTTCATGTTGGTGGCTTACACTCAGCAAAATGTGGTCATTCCGATGAAGAAAGTGGGACAGAAGGTTAATCTTGAGGTGGATATACTGGGGAAGTATGTGGAGAGGCTTCTTAGTAGTGGCTTTGTCAATGCCATCAAATCTTCATGAAAAAAGGTTGTTTCTTTGTGCTGCATTTTATCTTTGTAACTTTCTGCCTTTTGCAAATTTTGGAATAGTGTTTCAGTGAAATAAAAATAAACAATATCACCTGGCTTGGACTTTGGTCAGAGCAAATGTGTCTGAACTTTTATCTGCTGAAGTTTATATAGTGTAAGCGCCAATGAAAAGAGTGCCACTTTTTAGTTGCATGCTAAGGTTGTACAAGTCTTTATAGTACTAAAGAGTTGTGAAATCTTGTTCAGGATTGAGATTGCTCATGCTGAGTTTGTTTATTTTGTAATGTGAAGGGTTATTGATCACAGTGCTAGCAGGTTAAACTATTAATTGATAATTGCAGTTCAACGAATTGTAATTGCATTGATAGCAGGCTTCAATCATCGGTTGTCTCAATTAAGTTGCTTCAGTCTAGTTACATTCTCTTAAAAGCAGTTCCACTTAATAGCAAACATGTCGAAGCATGGATTCTGACAAGTTGAGTTGTGTCCAGATACTTGGAACATTTTAGAAATTTGGTGAAGAAAGTGCACACGTTGTGTGATTTCATGGTGTCAAACATGTCTGATACAAGATTTTTATCCTGTATAAGTTTTTTTTTCTTTGATGAGAAAAGTAGAAGTTTTATCAGTAAGTACCAAAAAGGTACTGTAATGGTACAAGAGAAAGGATCATCTCCTTCTACAGATTGAAGGAGTACATAAGTTCAAATAAAGATTCAAATTCAGTAACAATACTTTCTTTACCGTATACACTAATATAAAAGACTATTAAGACATTTGCACTTCACAGAAGATATATGCTCTTTCCTACTAGAGAAGCATCTGTTATTTCTCTCAAGCCAAATGCACCAAAAATGCCTATAAGAAATGCATACCATAGTGTCTGCTGCCATTTTAGATGATCTGCCCTCTCCAACTGCTCAAGGTTTGCTGAATGCTTCCAGGAATAACCCATTGAACTCCAAAAGTTCTCAAAAAAGTAGACCACGGCTTTGTTTTCTGATTATCTTTTCAGGGGACTACCTGAAGTTCTTATTAGACTGATCACACAGGAGGTAGTTTGTAGTTGTACCTTGAGGCCTAAGTTAGCAAGGAAACTAGAGGAACTTAATTTCTATCCTTAGTCTAGTTCTGGCAAGAAAATGTAGATGAGTAGGCAGAGGAGTCTTGAGATTGGGATCTTGTCCAATCTCTGTTTCAAATTTTGATCTTGTACATATTTGCTCATTGGTAAATAATATACTTTACGTACCTCAAAAAAAGAAAGACGATGGCTGCCAACTGTACTTACAATGTAATAAAAGATGACAAACAGATTTTAATGCTTCTTTACACATATAACATCTGTTGAAAATATTAAAGCCCCTCTTCTGTAGGTTAACCTGAGTGATGCATTGTGCGCTGCAATCCATGTGAAACATGCTGCCCTGGGTGATGCATTAGTCTTCCAAATAATTTTTCCTGGCCAGCATTCAATATATTTTCCCATATCTTTTAGATAGTTTTGTAACAAGCCTTCACAGTGAATCTGCCACCTTTTCCACCTTTCCAAACCAAGAAATCACCTACATTTTCTTCAAGGTTAACATGTATCAGCATCACAAGTAACTCATTGATTGAGTCGAGTTCCCAGTCGTTAAGGTTTCTTCTTAAGTGCAGGTTCCAGCCACTAGTGGAAATTCCTTATAGCTGGCAACTTCATAATACCTGGAAAAATCTCGTCCAGTGGTAATTGTCCAACCTTGATTAGTCTACTTTTTTTATCTTACAACCATTACTTTTAGGCTATTTGCTGCAGCATGTAGCTATGTGAATATAGAGTTGGTTACATTGTAGCATGAGAGCTTTTATGTAGTTTTAGCATATTTGAAGCTTCGTTTTTCTTCTTTTCCCTGGGATTGGCATTTTGAGTTTTTTTTTTCTGTAGAAGAATTTGGTCTAATAGGGGAAGACTATTGTCTTGAATGCTAGTTATGATTCAATAGGCAACCAGAAAATGTGTTGTTAATATGTGACTTTGAGAATTAGATTTTTGATATCTGTGATATTTCCACGATTTCCTGACTTTTTGTCTTCCATTATCTTCGGATGTTTGTAAATAGGCGTTAGAGTTAAATCGAATTTTACCAACATAAATAGTGAACTGATACTTTGCATAGTCAAAATTTGTGCAGTTTATTTCTTCTGTCTTGGAAAGATATTTCAACTTGGCCTTCTGCTAAGAGTTTTGCAGATTCCCTTTCTTCTTCCTTCTAGTTTAATTCCTATGTAACCTAGTCCTCCTATGAACCTATCCCCGCCTAAAGGATGAAAGATTACAACTATAAATTAAAGGCTGTATTCGAGCAAGCTCTTAGCTCTCATCATGAGTGAGAGGCATTGATGCAAGAGAATGCCGGCTAGTCTTTACTTACACAGAAGAATAAGATGGATAGAGGACTTGTACTGTGCATGTTTAACCTTTTGTTTCATTTCCTCGCTGTTACTTCTAGGTCCAATGTTCATTTGGCTGGCTAGAATTGAGGAGTCATTTTGTTCTTGTGCTCGACAAGAATAAAACATCATGCTGGTTTTTCTTGTTGCTTCGGGAATTATTGCGAGAATTCACAGGGATAAAATAATCAGCCAAGAGGAGCAATAAATTTTACATGTAGGTGCATGCGCATGCACCCAGTAGGTGTTTCATGCACAAGATAATGTATGCCAACTACCAATATTAAGGTAAAAACTTGCTGCATCATTTGTGGCCGTGCTTCAAAGGACTTATTTGTAATCAATATTTCTGTTCCTCGCTCAGTTGATCCTGTTATAAACTATTTCTGAAATGGCCACAAAGCAGTGTTGTCAAAGGCGCGCTCAAGTCCTGAAAAGACTCAGAACATGTTGAGCTCTTTGCCTCGCTTAGCGGGCGCTTCAGTGTCGTCATCAAAGCTCTAAAGCATACTTTTCCTTGCCAATGAGCGTAGTCCTGTAAAGACAACACTAAACAATTGATATTTTATGTTATCGTAATATTTTTTAATTTCTTTGTTCATATATTTTTTTATTCACACTTATAACTATTAATCTTGGATTACACATATATATTAGTATTTTTTTTTTCTCCATTTGTGCTTATTTTTATTAAAGCCCTCATTTTTTTGCGCTTAAAACCCTAATGGACCTTAGAGCTTTTTTGCGCTTTTTGTCTTTGATAACATTGCCACAAAGAATACTAGGTTTGTGTCACAGTAGACGATGATTTTGTGGTTCAAGTGAAGGGGAGAAAAGAAAGAAAAGGAAAAGTTTAGCATATTGCTTTACCTCTTTTCGCGTTTGACTTGTGTTTCTTTTAGCTTGAAGCTTTTCACATATGTTTAGTGGTGGTAATAAACATCTATTTCAGTGCGCATGTAGGACGGAAGTGAACAGGCCCCAATAACAATTGTTTAACCAACAGGGAAGAGGAGGAGCTTAGTTGAAGAACATTTTGATAGGAAGTCTTAGTAGGTCTACCTAGTGCTTAGTTGGATTTGTTAATATCAGGTACAAGATGATTACACTTATAAAAGAGAGAAAACTGTGTAAGTTTTTAAGTGATGGCAGGGTGCCACTTTTGCTGATAGGAAACGGAGAGACTTGACACTCTTCTTATCCTTGAAAAAATGTTCATCCTATTAGTGTCCAACTTTCTATCTTTTCAATTGCCTTATGACCGTGATCTTTCCTTAATAAAAATGGATGGTGGTAATTAAGTGATTCAGATATCATATGCCAATATAACTGTTTTGTGCCTTTTGAATGACATTTCATTTTCTATTTTATAGTCAAACTTCTGTAAACGTGTTTCATGTCAATTGTTGGCTAGATAGATGGAAGCTGATTCCGAGCTAGCGCTTGGACATAGATTTGATTGAAACTTGAAAAAAGAGTTTTTGAAGTTGTGTTGAAAAATAATTTTTGAAAGTTGAAGTTGTATTTGAACATGCCTTTTATTTAAAGAAAGGTTGATGTTTTGTGAGTGAAAGAAAAATTTTCACCCAAAAAAAGCCCCGAACCAATTTTTGAATTTTTTTCCCCAAAGCATGATCATATTTCATAAATAAATAATATTTTCAATTTTTTTTTTTTTTTTAGAAAAACCGAAGCCAAAATCTATGACCAAACGGGGGAAAATGTGTAGAAGTGTTTGGCTCTTGAGAGAGGCGTTTTCTTCCCTTTTTTTTGGTGGCTCATTTACTTACGTTTTTCCCACACTAACAGTTAACACGATTGCTTTTGGTGTAATTTTTCTTTCCTGAATTGATTAGTTATATATAAGGTTGACTAACTTTTAGAAAATGTATGTATATCCATTCATTTTTAATATATACTAGTATTAGGACTCGCTCGATACGCGGATAATTTGACGAAATATTAATCTTATAAAATTATGATCTAATATATCATATTATTTTAATAAATATTAGTTACTATTTTATTATTTAATGTAGTGTACATAAATATAATAAAATCTATACAGAATCAAATAATACAAAGCATTATCGTAATCAAATAAATTGTTTATTCCTTGTTTATTCTGTATTAACTTAGCAAGTAATACACACACTAATGTAATTTTTTATTAATTTTTTAATTGGCTTATTTTTATAGTACTTCTCTTTTAGTAGAACATACGTATATATTTTCTTATTCTGGAAATATATATTTTTATACTTATATTATACTGTTTAAAATTCTTTAATTGTCTAAATTTATCAATAATTATTTATTTATATGATGTTTATTAATTAATTCAAAATATGAATGTTATAAAATTATCTTTATTCACCTCTTTTCGTACATTCATTTCTACTATAATACAAAATTAGTATTCTCATTTTATATTTACTGAAAATTTAAATAATATCATTTTTTTTACTGAATTATAGTTTTGAATTCATCAAAAGTATAAAGAGATAAGCCTTTTATTATTTTAATAGAAAACGTACTAATATTTTTAATAATTAATAAAATATGTTTTATATATATAATATATTATCTTATGTATAATATCCTAATAGTTTCTTTATATTTTTGTATTTCTCATTATGAAATTATGAGTTCTATTTATTAATTTATTAAGTAAATTTTCCTACATGAGAAATTTAATTAGTATATGTATTTTTATGATGTCATTTGATTTTCTTAATGTTCTTCATTTATGACTATTTGTTTATTATGATTTTAGTTATCTGTATATGTACGACTTTTCTCATAATAATTCTAATTATTTTTATAAGTCTTATATGTACGACTTTTCTCATATATATATATATATATATATATATATATATATATATATATATATATATATATATATATATATATAATCCCCAATTTAAATGAGTAGAATATTTTTTTGTATTTTTATTTTTATTGATAATTATAAGATATCTATATTTATTAATTCAAGTAGTGTAACCAATTCATTCAAAATTTAAAGTTCAAAAAATAAATTAGTTAGAAAAGTAATTTGTTTTATCTTAACAATGCCACTTGGTTTTTTATGGTTAAGACACTTTTCTTAATGTAGTGCTTTTGCTTCTTCTATTCTATATAGATAGATATAGATTGATGGTTGACAACTTCTAAAAAGTGTATGTAATACAAGTTTAAGTATCCATTGTGAAAAAATAGGAGTAATAGTTATTATGGAATTCTCAATTTACTGGTTTAAACATCTATGATCCGTCTTTAGTTCTAATATACTTGTTTCCTGTCATAATTGACGACGAATTTTTGTTGAAATTAATTCTTTGATTCCTTGCACTAAAGTTAACTGTACCCAATTGAGGGATTACGTTACTTCAGTTAAAATAGCACGGGCTACAAGTTTTCGGACCGGTCATTCAAAAATAGTCAGCGTTTGCCAAGTCATTAAAAATAGCCACTATTTTGCTGCAACATAGACCGGTCCAGCATAATATACTGGAGTTCGGTGCACCTGTGTATGAACTTCCAGCATATTATGCTGGACCGGTATACTTTGCTGGCTCCAGTATAATATACAGGAGATCCAGTATATTATGCAGGAGTATTTTCCGGATTTTGAATAGTGTTTTCATTCAAAATTATCTTTACATGAAAAACAGCTAAATTTCGATAACTTTAAAACTGTGACTATTTTTGAATGATCACTTATAAATCTAGCTATTTTTGAATTTCTCCAGTTACTTCATCGACTTACCAGGAGGTCAAAGTTCTGTTCAAAGTGAGAAATATCAAAAGGTTTACATATGAAATAAAATAAACTAACCAAATAAAGCATCAAATCAACTTGTGTTTACCAATATCTGTATTTCTACTTTATATTAAACCTAGGGTAAATTTCTTCAGACGAAAAATAGAAGTAATAGTCCTATATAAAAATAAGTCGCATACATGTCACTAAACTTAGAATCCGAAACTACATAAGTAATAAATCGGAGAAGAGATTTAGGAGAAAAATTTCTATACAACATAATATGTCATACGTATGTTACATTTATTGGAGCCTTACATTTTAATTCACATACAATATAGCAATATAATATAGACATTAAGAACTACGGAACATAAGCAATGCATTAAAATATATACTATTATAAATAGATTAATAGAGTTTGTGATATTAATTTTTAGAATAAGGATTTAGATGTATTCATATCACAGTTTTTAATTTTCATTTGTATAAAGAAAGTTTCTGCACACTTTTATGTTTCATTCACAAAAATGAGCATAATTTCCCAGACAACAACAATAAGTGTTTGACATTATCATACATCTGATCTTAATATAAAACTTGTTATGATGTATAAAATTATTGAGATTAAACAAGTTATTAGTATGTGACAGACAACAACGTTTCATATTCAATAATAAAAGAAATGACATTTGCTATACATTTTTTCACCTTGAATAGTAGAAAGCTAGTCAATCGTATCAGCATCATCTAAAAGCAAATCTAGAATCTATTACTCCAATTCCGAAATTTTGGCCAAACTAAAAGGAGTACTACTACTTTTCATGGCCAATTGTTAGTCACATCATTTGCCCTTTAATTGATGTCGTCAAATCAAAAGAGTGGTTGACGAGGAAGTGGACGTGTCACATGTGTTAAGATTGGAATTATTTATCTAGTGGCTATTTTTGTAATTGTGGCTATGGCTACTATTGTAACGGGTTAGTTAGGTTGTTAGCTGTCCAGTTTTTAGTTAGTGTTCCGATTTTTAGTTAGTATTTTGTTTAGGCGGTGACAAGCGCCAGCTATGCAATACAGCATCTACTATATATGTTTGAGTAGGATTAGCATTTTCAATTCTAATGAGAAAACTTCCCAAAATCTGAGTTCTCCTCGAAGCTTCTATTTTCTCTCTACATTTCACAGCTTTCAGCCATGGCAGTTGAGCTCGAGCTCAATCATTGCTCATCAACTCTTCGTTCTTCACATGGTATCAGAGCGTAGGATTTATGTTCTGAGGTAATTCACGATTCTCTCCTCATCCTATCTTCAATCCTAAGTTGAAATTTCTAGGTTTCTTCGAAGTCGTTAGTCTGCTTGAAATTTTTTAGTCGAAACTGCTATAGTCAGTCCGATCTCGTCTATTGGCAACAAATTTGTTAACATTCTCAACTTGTGTTCTTCGCGAAGCAATTGCATCTGCCGAATTTCATTCCTTATTTTTGAATCGTGGTCAAATTAATTGAGATTTCCGATCTAAACAAATAATGGCTGGAGATAAGGAGAATATTGTGGAAAAGGACAATTTAGATGCATCAAATCCCTTCTACATGCATCCATCGGAGAGTGCAGGTTCAGTGTTGGTACCTGTGGCCTTTGATGGCACAGGATACAGATCTTGGAGAAGAGGTGTGCTTAGAGCTCTTTCAGTAAAGAACAAAGTTGGCTTCATAACTGGAAAGTGTCAGAAGCCAACAGTAGGACATGCAACTTTTGATCAATGGGAGCGATGTGATGATATGGTTACTTCATGGATCTTAAATTCCCTTTCAAAGGATCTAGCGGATATCTTGCAATACGTGAGTGGTGCAAAGGAGCTGTGGCGAGAGTTGGAAGATAGGTATGATCAGACTAATGGAGCAAAGCTCTATCAGCTTCAGAAGGAAATAAATGACTTGAGCCAAGGAACCCTTGATATAACGGGGTATTACACAAAGATGAAGAAGTTGTGGGAGGAATTGAACACATTGAATGCACATGCACAATGCAACTGCCAGTGCACCTGTGGAGCTAAAGCCAACATGCACAAGGCTGAGCAGGATAGGAGGTTGATACAGTTTTTAATGGGCCTAAATGAGGTATATACTGTCGTGAGGAGGTGCATACTGATGATGGATCCTCTCCCAAGCATTGCTCAAACTTTCTTTATTCTCATTCAAGAGGAGAAGCAAAGGGAAGTTAAGCCACAGAATCAACAATTAGTAATTGAATCCACATCATTGAATGTTAATGGTCCAGGAAGAAACACCTTTAGGACAAACTATAACCAACACACTGGAAACAATAGCTATGGAAGAGGCTACATGGGGAATAGACCTAGGTCATTCTGTGATTTCTGCAAGAGGCCAGGACACACTAAAGAAAAATGCTATTAACTACATGGATACCCTCAGAATTTTAAGTACAACAATAGCAACAGAGGAAGAAAACTAGCAGCAAATGTGTTCGAAGCAGCAAATGATAGAGCAGGTATGCCAGATGAAGGAGGAAGTCATCAAGAGCAGGGCAGGACTATGCAGCAATTAAGCAAAGAACAATATGGACAACTACTGAGCATATTGGAGACCTTTAAAAATGGAAACAATGGAGACAATTTTGGAAACATAAGCATGACTGGAGAAGCTGTCAATTTTGCAGGTATGACTGCTTGTCATTTTTCTATTGAGTCAAGCAAACAGTCTTATGAATGTTTCAAGGAAAACGCTGATTCATGGATCCTTGACTCAGGAGCTACTAACCATATGACCTATAACAAAGCCTCATTGAGTAATGTCAAAGTCTTAACTTACCCTTTCTTAGTATCTTTACCAAATGGTTACAAAGTAAAGGTGACAGTAATTGGAGATGTCATCCTCAGTCCTCACTTCACTCTAAAAACAGTTCTATATGTGCCTAGTTTCAAGTTTAACCTAATTTCTGTTCATTCTTTGACAGTCCAACTTGATTGCATCATCATATTCACTAAATTCTCATGTATTCTTCTACAGGTCCTTTCACTGAGGAGGCCTCTGGAGATTGGTAAGGCTAAAGGCAGCCTCTACCTTCACCATTCAAGTTCAGGAAAGAGTAATTCTTCTGTTGTAAATAAGATTTCCACCACATCACTTACACACAACTCCACACCTAATACAGTCACCTTAGGTAGTCACAACATCAATAATGTACACACTTCCATTTGTCATTGTAGTTCAGCACCTAGTGCATCCATTTCTCCTCATGTTTGTGCTAATAAAAGTGTACAAGATTTTCTGAAATCCAATAAAAGTTCAAATTCAGTGTACAATGCATATGTCTCTAATGAAGATTCTGTGGATTTTTTATGGCATAATAGGCTGGGCCATGTGCCTTTTATCAAAATGAAGGGTATCAACTCTATATCAATAACCTTTGCAAGTAAACAACCTTTTCTGTGTACCATATGCCCCATGGCCAGACAAACTAGACTCTCTTTCCCAAACAAAACCACTTCTACAACCAAGATTTTTGAAATTCTGCATGTGGATATGTGGGCCCCCTATCATGCACCAACTCATGACAATCACAAGTATTTCATCACCTTGGTTGATGACTATAGCAGGTGCACTTGAACACACCTACTGACCAGCAAAAGCAATGCCTTGCATGTTATAAAAGCTTTCTGTGCAATGGTCCAAAACCAGTTTAATACTTTAATAAAAGCCATCAGAACTGATAATGGTTCAGAATTTGTGAATGCTGAAACAGCCATGTTTTTCCAAACCAAAGGAATCATCCATTAGAAAACTTGCCCATACACTCCACAACAAAATGGCATAGTGGAGAGAAAACATAAATATCTGTTAGAAACTGCAAGAACACTCCTATATCAGTCCAAATTACCCCTAAGGTATTGGGGGGAATGTATCCTAACCTCCACTTACCTGATTAACAAACTACCATCTACATCCCTCAGAGGAAAATGCCCCTTTGAAGTCTTATATAAGAGGAAACCAAACTACTCACATCTTAGGAGTTTTGGCTGTTTATGTTTTCCTACAAACCTGAAACTACGCAAAGACAAATTTGAGTCAAGATCCTCAACCCATGTCTTTGTAGGATACCCCTTTGGATCAAAAGGATACAATGTCCTCAGCCTAGCCACAAGGAAGATACATGTTTCTAGAGATGTGATCTTTTATGAATCAATTTTTCCCTTTACCCTTCCAGGAAAGTAGACTGACTTGGCATCCAGATATGAGCATCTACCTTTTTCTTTTCCTCATATAGGTCCTAGCATGAGTCATGTTGATAATGCTGATCCTGTTCCCATTCCTACTGAAAGTGACCCTAATCAACAATTAATGTCACATGGACTTCCATTTGGTAATGATGATAATGATGACATTCATGAATCTACACCATCACCATCACCTCAACCAATTCACCAAAGCTCCTCCAGATCAAATGAAACTTCCAACACATCCCCTGAACCATATTTTCACTCCCAAGACCAAAACCAACCTTTTCAGAGTGGTTCACAAGTTTCTGCACAACCTGAACAAGCTGTAAGCCCAACACATAACAGACCTCAAAGAACTCACAAACTCCCTGGCTACTTGAAAGATTACATCTGCAAAGCTCCCACTCTCAAAACTAATGGCGAGACATCAATAGCAGATAATAGTCATAGTTTACCTTCTTTTTCTTTTTACACACATGTTCCCCAATTACAACTTGTTTCTTTCAATGCACTGAGTACTAACAGTCAGCATTTACTTGAGACTCTCTCTACTTACTGTGAGCCTGAATCATATGAAGAGGCAGCAGCCATACCTGCCTAGCAACAGGCCATGAATCAGGAATTTGATGCACTCTACTCAAACCATACATGGGATCTTGTTCCACTTCCCACAAGAAAGAGGGCAATAGGTTAGAGGTGGGTATACAAAATCAAACATAAGGCAGATGGCAGTGTTGAGAGGTTCAAAGCTAGGCTAGTTGTTAAGAGTGGTTGACGAGGAAGTGGATGTGTCACATGTGTTAAGATTGGAATTATTTATCTAGTGGCTATTTTTGTAATTGTGGCTATGGCTACTATTGTAACGGGTTAGTTAGGTTGTTAGCTGTCCAGTTTTTAGTTAGTGTTCCGATTTTTAGTTAGTATTTTGTTTAGGCGATTACAAGTGCCAGTTGTGCAATACAGCATCTACTATATATGTTTAAGTAGGATTAGCATTTTCAATTCTAATGAGAAAACTCCCCAAAATCTGAGTTCTCCTCGAAGCTTCTATTTTCTCTCTATATTTCACAGCTTTCAGCCATGGCAATTGAGCTCGAGCTCAATCATTTCTCATCAACTCTTCGTTCTTCACAACATGTCATGTTCCAAATTGGCCAATTAATCTTTGGCTGAATAACTACAACCTCACAAATGGAAATATATTAATGGTTCCACGTTTTAAATAATCTTAGTTTGATACTAATATGAATTAGCCTATTTATATTAATATCATAAAGAACTTATATGTTTTTATGTATTTTAATTTGTTGTGACATGTTATTTGAATTATTTATTTCATTACTAAATATCACTTGTCTTAAATAACCATTTGTAAAAATTTTAAGCGATTTATACACGGTCAATACGTACAAGATTACAGTATCAAAATATATAGCGTGTTGTAAGGCATTAGTTGAGTTGGCTATTGGACGAATGGAAGTTCCTTTTCTCCTTCTTTGGGCATTTTTCTTTTATTAATTTTATAACTTATTTATTTACTGAGTAGAATAATTTTTGACTTTTCTAAAAGAAAGAAAAGAGTATGTATTGGTGAAATTCAGCCTCATTATGTGGCATAGCAAACAATGACATGTGGTTGGTGAAGTTGCAGAGCCAAAATCTAGGAGCAAGGGAGCTGTGACTGAAACTATCCCTTTATCCCGAAGCAGGAGCAACCCAAGGAGCAAGCGCCTGAAGCAGGTCAAATGCTTTCCAAGACGTATAGCCCATTTGGCCAAGCTGCAAAAATCGGGAGAAATTTAAAAATTCGCCAGATTTATAACTGGTCGTTCAAAATAAACAGTGCGGAAACATAACGCTACCCGGCATCGGGGTGTCACCAGTCATGAAGACCTACAACTCGTCTCGGAATAAGAAAGGACAATATAGTCTGAACAAATGCTAACACAAAGCTAAATAAGATAGGAAGGAGAAGCACTGGGCTGCGAATGCCAAGTAGCTACCTAGTCAACTCCGGAGACATGCTAAAAGGCTGACTAGCTCTCGCTATCGCGACCCCAGACTCATGTATCTGCACTCAAGGTGCAGGGAGTAATGTGAGTACGCCAACTCAGTAAGTAATAAAAGTAAAGGCATCTGAGCAGTAAGAAAACACGTAAACCACGTCATAATGCTGCAACAAAACAATATAAGTCCAGAACGATGCAGTAAAGCAATAAAACTCGTAAAAACAACTCAGTTCCTTAAAACCTTTTAAAATATCTTTTAATAGTTTCAGACGAGTGATGAAAACAATGAGTAAAAGGATAGAAACGTAAACAACCCATTGGGCAAAACAAGTACCATAAACCGCCCCTGGAGCATTATCAACAGAACCAGCCCCCTGGGCTACCTCACAACCTGTTGCGGCGCGCAACCCAATACCATGATATCCTCACAACACAGGCCCTCGGCCTCACTCAGTCAGAACTCACTCAAGCCCCTCGGGCTAACAATAATACAGGTACTCGGCTCAAAATATCATTTATAAAATCAAAAGGAGTAAATAAAATTCGAGTTATGAAATTAGTGAAAGCATAGCATGGTTGAGTGTAAATATTATTAAAATAGTGAGGAAACAGTGGTAAAAAGCCCCTAAGGATCCAAACAGTCGGCACAAGGCCCAAACACGGCATTCAGCCCCAAACATAGCAATATTTTCCAAAACATAATAATATCAAACAATTTTCAGTCAAATACGCGACTTAATAGTCGTACGGGATGGACCAAGTCACAATCCCCAGCGGTGCACGACCCCACGCTCGTCATCTAGCATGTGCGTCACCTCAAAATAGCACAGCTATGTGAAATCCGGGGTTTTTTACCCTTAGGACAATATTTACAATCATTACTTACCTCAATCCGGTCCAAACTCTAGCCTGTGATGCCTTTGCCTCTCGAATCGGCCTCAACACGCGTCGAATCTATCTAAAATCAGAATCATAACATCAAAATAGGCTAGAGGAACAAAGCCCACACAAAAATAACCAAATTTACTCAAAAATCCTGAAATTGGCCAAACCCGATCCCCTGGCCCACGTCTCGGATTCGGATAATAATCACAAAACTAGAATCCTTACACTCTCATGAGTTCATACATACCAATTACATCAAAATCCAACCACAAACGACCCCTCA